AAAAAGGCTAAAGTTTTTCATGCCCCTCAGTGTTTTCCCTTTTTCCGAAACCATACCTTCAAAAAGACGCATTTTGTAAAATATTATACACACTCAAGGGGATAATATAAATTTCGTCAGTTAACCGGGGTTTCATAGGCAAAACTTCAATTTCGTCTTTTGACAATTTTTGAGTAACGAAATATTCTTTTGACAAGTTACAGATGCTTACTTGCCAAGCTAATCCCTCGGGATCGGATAGCGACTCAGAGAAGTCCATCTGATTATCTATAACGCTCATCTCGGAACATGGAAAGCATAGAGCAGCCTCATGCCTCTTTAGCATCGACATTATTGCAGCATAACCGTCACGATTGCTGGAGTTATAAATTCCAGCAGTCAATTCAGCAGCATGACTAGATGTCTTGTACCACCAATTGATGCTCGCAAGCTGCTCAAATCAAGACGACGGCGTATAGCGATTCAAATTAATGTAGAGTGCATTGTCATCGACAGTGGTGAAAAGTAATACCATCAGATTACCTAGTGGGAATCCATATTTGGAGGAATACAAGTGAATCGTGGCTATTATCTTTAAACACAAGGAAAAAAAAAATACCAACAAGGTTTAGTTTAATTGAGATGCACATTGTCTTATCTTTCAAATTACAAATATACACTCTGATACTTGTTTCAGTTTTACAAACTGCATGGCCAACAGAGGTATTTGTAAGTTTGGAAGATGATTGTGGTTTCTGCATTAAAAGCCAAGAATTGAGAAGTGTTGAACTAAATAAAGTCACCTTTGCAGCAATACGAGTTCCTTCAAAAACTAACTTGGCCAAAGAAAGAACTCGATCTCCATGGTCGACTAAAGCTTGAGAATACCAGCTGAGAAAAAACCTGCCGTGATAGCCGTCATAATCACCCCCGTCACAGAAAAATCCTGTCTCGTGCGGCCTTGAATTGTACGAACCAGTATTTTCAGGTCCACGTGCCCAGAAAGAGTGTCCTTTTATTTCTGCAGCCTTGCGCAGGCTCTTCAACATATATTGATCATAGCACTGCAAAGGAAAGAGCAATATGGATTACACAGTCCAATGCTTGACAAGAAGCACTACCACTAAATAAAATTTTCCCAACACTTTATGAATTGACAATAAGCGATCTTCAATAATTTGTACAAATAATTCCCTCAGTTCTTAATAAAACTCTAAGAACACACACACACATATATATAGAGAGAGAGAGGAACCAAATTTATTGTGTATTCAGATTGTGTGCACGTGCAAAGGGGTTGTTACAAGTGAGGCTTCTAAATATAATGATTACCTGAAATTCACCAATACCCGGGTATCTCCAACCATGTTTCACAGGATTGCTAGGATATCTCAGCTCACCACATGGGCCAAGACCAACTATAATCATAGATATAACACCACTCTCAAAAAACTCATCAAATTCGACCCGAAAGCTTCTCATGCAATCAAAGTACACCTACAACAGTTATCCAAATATTAAACAGTTAGACAATAAATTCTGCGGGATAAAGTATACCATGAAATATGATCGAAAATAATCACAATGAAACGGTGAAGTACAGGCACAGGAAGTCTTTCAATGGAAATATCTGGCTTTGCTAAAAAACAAATTGTAGCTGTCCGGCCAAAATTAATGGCTAAGAGAGAGCTACAATTTCAAATCCAAGGGCTCTCGAAGTCGCTATCAGCCCAAGGTCAAAATTGTTGGAATGTTCAGTTGTGAGTTGTCACTGATCGATTAATTAGGGCAAAAATTAGCTTAGTTTATAAGTCCAATTAGCCACTCCTATCACCAATTGGTTTTGGGCTGAAAGTTCAATTAGATGATGTCTAGGCTCGCCTTCTATTTGGGTGTGATTCAACTGTGTGGGGCCGCATTACTTCCACCGAATAAATAAATCTAATCTGGTATCAGAGGCTGCTCTGGGACCTGTGACTATTGAAGGGCTCACAAGTCACAAGTGAGGGAATAGAATATGTTGGAATGTTCATCCACATTGATTAATTAGAGAAAATTAGCCTAGTTTATAAACCTTGTGAGCCACTCCTATCAACAATTGGTTATGGGATGGAACCTCAGTCAAGTGACGTCTAGGCTTGTCCTCTAATTGGGTGCGCTTCAACTATGTGGGACTTCACCACACCATTTCCCCTTCCCCCCACCCCCCCAATATATAAATCTGATGAAAATTACCACAAACATCGTAAACCTAACGTTTGCGAACGCGGCTCCTATCCCCTCAATTTATAATTATATCAAGATATACACAGCAAAACCGATCAACGAAATATATATATATATATATACGCAGCAAATAACATGGCCAGCACAGTCGTGCACAACAAGCATTTTTATGAGAGGTAACTGAAACATGAATAGAGGTTCATATAAGAGTTGAATTACCTCTATAGCTGTTCGGCCCCTTAAAACTCTTTCCTTGTCAACTCCCCAAGACAGGCACTCTGTGTCCCGCCTTCCTGATTTATCTGTGAAAAGGATGTCCGGATTGTTTCGACTGATTTCGGCCACCCAGTGAGGCAGGGGAATGCACACATCATCACCAACATTACCACCACATTCATGGAAGGACAGTACAACCTGTTTCCACTTTAAATCTTTACCACCACAAGAGTTTGGAGGAAAAATAGTGAAAGGAACAGCAGGTCAGTCAAATTACAATTTCTTACCCACTCTTGGTAATGATCATCTACAGTATCACGCATGCAATAGCCTATTCTCTAGTAACTTGTCCTGATTGGATATGCATTCGCTGAAAAGTTTTCCTTTCACTAGAGAAGTGTTTGGAATAAACTTTTAAAGAAGAAAAGGAATAATTTGAAAAGTCTGATTGGATGTAAGATGAAAATGTAATGATTATAATATAATGAGTGGTAGTTACAAATATGTAAGTGGACGAATAGTGTATTTATATAAAAATGTGCAGTAATGATTAAGTTTTATTTCAAATTGCATTGATAAAATTAAGGAGGGAAAAGGTGAGATAAGTGAATAGTCTGTTTTTTAAGAAAAAGTTCTCTAGTAAGATAATAGTTCAAGTTTTTGAATTGCTCAGACGGAAGCAATCAAAGAGTTGTTTCTTTTTCTTTTTCATGCAAGATCGCCGGATTTGTTGTATCAGTAGAATTACACAGTCTAAGAATTCCAAAATTCAACTGTTGCGATCGAGGATTAAAAGATAGGATGAGGAACCCTTGAAATACTCTCACCCGATCCAGAATGCATAATCTACTAGCAGAATTTCCAACGAACTTTGCAACAGAGTTAATCAGAAG